GTGATCTCCCCTAAATCTTTACAACTCCTGCCCCCTGTCAACCCATAAAAACAGCTATGGTTATATGTTGACTATCTACTACAGGCCAGGCATGGATTGTACTTGGCTTTGGGCACATATTGATGAGAAAAGCAGACCTCACTCCTTTGCTAATGGTGTTAAAAATGCTACTCACTGCTACTTCTTGACCTCTTGAAATATACTATTATGCAGAACCTCTTGAAATGAAACAATCTAGTAAGTATATAAGTGCATTAGTTTACAATGCGGGGGGGGGGGGGGGCAGGACACAAAGAACATTGTTTGCAAGGTTGACTTTGAGACCATGAGCAAAATAACTCTTTTCCTTGAAGTTGTGACACGAATTGAATAACAGTCTCCCTGCACCTCTCAAACTTCTTTACAAAGCTGTATCCTCTTCCATTCTACACATCCTTATCAGCCATTTCCAATTGTTTCCTGTTTGTAACACAAATTTCTAAATGTCTTTTTAATAAAAACCCGCAGCCAGAATATTGTAGTAAATGCCAAAAGACCAGAGAGACAAAGGAACAAGTCACAGACACCTCTTACCTCTAGGACTCCCCAGCCTGAAAAAGCCTCAGCCGATAGGCCTCTAACCGAATGAGCTTCCTTAGCCAAAAAAGCTTTGGTTCCTGTCTCCTCACGCCTTAGATACCTTTCTCTGCCCACCATATCACTTCCTTTCTCAAGCTAGTGCTTGAATTAAAGGTGTGTGCCACCACAGCCTGGCTCTGTTTCTCTCCTAGACTGAGAGAGAGGTGTCTGTGGCTTGTTCTTTTGTCTCTCTGATCTTTCAACATTTGCCCCAATATTTTGGCTCTGGATTTTTTGGGTTTTTTTTTTTTTTTTTTTGATTATAAGACCATTTAGCAATTCATGTTACACCTGTTCAAATGCTCCACAGAAATCATTTTTTTCACTTAAAATATATCTTGAACAATTTTTATTTCCAACCAAGATGCAGTAACAGAAACCAATTTCTCTTTCATCAAAATAATCAGTAAGATAAATCAGACAAACTTACATGAAGCAATAGTTTCCCAAAACTATACACAAGCAACTAAGGATAGAGATCCTCAAGACACCAGACACACAGAAGGCCAGCCTGCCACGCCCCATCTCACAATCTTGAAAAGCTTCCAGACCACAGGACAAGGTACCTGAGATAGAAAATAGTGCTTGACTTGAAGACACTGCCCTGAAATTCTGAGAAAACCTAAGCGGCCATAGTTCCTGGCACAGAGTAGCAGAGAAGAGGAGAAGAGCACAAGACACAACCCTGGAGAAGGACACAAGGTCTCCCTCCCTCAAGCACTCAGCACAGCAGAACCTGCATGAGTTGATGAAAGTAATGGGCCTAAGTAAGACCCACAGCAAGGATTAGAGGGAGCAGTACTGGACACTCACACAAGGCTGGGAAATGACTAAGATCAGCAGGTAGAATGGAAAAATGTCCTAATTAGGTTTGTTGGGTGGAATATATGGGAAAGTCTTGCCTCAGTACTAATAGTTTGTTCTACCCTGAGCACTACTCCAAACCAGCTTAACCACAAAAACAAGGCCTAATGGTGTTAATGTTTCCAAGTAACTGAACTATATCCTAGGGGAAAAACATTTAAGAAGACTGTAAGATTACAAAAATGTTCTATATCCACATACTCAATCAACAAATGTAATACACTATATAAATAAACATAAGAAGCCATCTATCATCTTGATAGATTCAGAAAGGGCACTAGACTAAGTTCATAATTTCTTCATGACAAAAGTCCTAGAGAAATTAGGAATAGATGGATTATACCTCAAAATAATAAGTAACAAACCTATAACCAACATTATAAACTAAATGGGAAAAAAGCATTTCTTCTAAAACTAAGATGAGACAAGAGTAACTACTCTTTCCATCTTATTTAATATGGTGCTCATAGGCTGACATGATTCTATATAGACTCTATCAGAATACTCTCAGATCAAATAAAGGCTTTCAGTAAAGTTGTAGGATACAAAATCATCATTCAAAAATTAACAGCTTTCATATATACTAATAATGAGCTTGCTGAGAAATAAATAAAATATTCTATTCATGAATTCTTTGAAAGAAGGAAAGAAAAAAAGAACCAGCCAACCTAGAAACAAATCTTACTGAGAGATCTTTCTGTACAATGAAAATTTTAGATACTAAAAAATAAATCAAAGATGATATTAGATAATGGAAAGACCTTTCATGATCATGGACTGGATGAAATAATACTGTAAAAATGGCTATATTACCAAAATTTTTTCTATAGATTTAATGCAACCTCCTTCAAGATTCCATGGCAATCTTCATAGAAGTAGAAGAAATAACCCCAAAATTCACACGGAAATGCATAAGACCACAAATAATTAAAGCAATTTTAAGCAGCAATACTACTGAAGGTATCAAATATCTGACTTTATTCTACTGACATAGTGACAAAGACAATGTGACCCCAGCATGAAAACAGACACATAGACCAATGGTACAGGTGGAAGACCAGAAATCAACCCACACAGCTAGGACTACTTAATTTTTCACAAAGGTTTCAAAAACATAACTGGAAATAAAGATAGTGAATTCAACAAATCCTGCATAATAATCATTTCAAACTCCATCATAGGTCTTAATTGAAAACCTGAAATATTGAAATGGTTACAAGAAATCCAAGGGAATATACCTCAAAGCATAGGTATAGACAGAAACTTTTGAACAAGACTTCATCAGCACAGGAAGTAGCCACAGGAATTAATAAATGGGATTACATAAGATTAAAATGCTTCTGCATAGCAAAGAAACTATTAACAGAGTGAAACAACAGGTTACAGAATGAGACAAAGTCTTTACCAACTACATTTCAGTCAAGAGGTTATAACTATACAAAAAAAAAACCCTACAAAAATTAAAACACACATACACAGACATCACATCACATCCTTAGCAATCAGGAAAAGCAAATTAAAACTTTGAGATTCAGTGTCATCCCAGTCAGAATAGCTATCCATAAGAAATGAGAGGACAACAAATACTGATGAGCCCTTATTCACTACTGGTGGAAATTTAAACTAGTTATAGCCATGTAGAGATCAATATGAAGGTTCCTCAAAAACTTAAAATGAACTACCATATTATCCAGCTATACCATTCCTGGGCATATACCCAAAGAATTCTATATCCTACTACCAAGAGATCCTTACACACCCATGTTTATTGCTGCTCTGTTCACAGTAGCTAAGAAACAGAATCAATCTAGATGTTCATCAACAGATGAATAAATAAAGGAAAAATATCATTCTGGATCTATATCCTCTGCTGGGACCTTCCAGTGACTCTTGATTTTGATCATTTAATTTACTTTGGCAAACAGAACACATGGAAACTTGTTGAAAGCACACTGAAACAACCTACCTCCTGCAAAAGACCTGAGTTGGCCTGCTGAAAGATGACCAACCACACAGAGTACTCAAGTCAAGACCATCTGACACATTCTGAAACAAGCGAATAGTCAGCAAACCCTCTTGAAAAGTTGAACCAAGATGGCCAGAACTGCTTCTGCCAACCCATAACTGAGCAAAGATGCAGGAATGCGCCCTGTGAGGAGGACCTGCTGACGTGTACATTACAGAGCAACAGTACCTTCTGATTGGAGCCAATAGGCTTTGATCCTCTAGATGTTTTGTTCCCAATTAATTAGCTAACTGAACATACCAGTATCATTTATTGACATGGAGACAAAAACATCAAAATACCCAGGACAGAGAGTAAAAGGAAGGAAGCTCTTCTTTTATACTGCCCAACAGCGACCTACCTATCCTTCACCGCCAACTTAGTTATCAACTCCTCAGGAGGCTTTCCCAGATCTCCAGACAAGTTGAGAAAACATACTCAGTTATACCATTACATTGTGTTCATATCCCTATCACTGCTTGCCCATACTGTAATTCGATGCTTCTTCCTAAACGGATTACGATTTGTTAGGTACTTATTGTTTCATACCAATCATACCATCACCATAATGTAACACAAAACAGACCCACAATGACTTCTAAATTGAATAAACAAACTAAAAAACAGGCATTTGTTGGGCTGCATGAGGGAATGGGGGTGTATGCCAATAATCCCAGCACTTGGGAGACAGAGTCAGCTGGATATCTGAGTTCAGGGCCAGCCTAGTTTTCAAAGCAAGTGTCAAGTCGGTCAAAGCTACAAAGTCCCTCTATATATAAACAAATAAATATCAACACTTGCTTGATTCTCAAACGTCTGCTAATACTTTTGGATCAGTATTTGTCAAAGTGTGACCATCGGAAAACGTGGATCAAAATCAGAATCTGCAGAGGCATGTATTTAAAAACACAAAATTGCTGGGGGCTTTCATTAATAAAAACTGCAGGTCTTAACGTTGTAAAAAGAAGGATGAGAATAGCCTCTGGCCAGTTACAAATAAAGTCAAGTAGTAGCAGTAAGCAGTAGTTAAGTGCACTAACTCACTTTCCCTCAATAAATTATAGTGTCGTTGTGTGTGTGTGTCTTAAAACTGCTAACTGAATGTGGAAAAATTTCTCCAAAGAAATAGTTCTGCGTCAAAAGAAAAAGGAGCTGGGGAATTTTCCAAGGAGGTGTGGCTTCTCAGCGAACACGTTTACAAGAGGTGCTTCGGGAAGGAAGGGCAACCTTCACCACCGCAGGGGCCAGAGATGCATGGGCGGAGAACCTGAGCTCGGGCTGTGGATGCCGGGGAGGGCCCACCGTCCCGCGCGCGGCTAAGACGCCGAGGGAAGGGGGTGCCCCCGGGTCCCCGCGCGGACACCGATCTCCAGGGACGGCCGCTCTAGGTGCAGCCCCGCAGGACGCGTGGAGGAAGGCCACCACGCCTGGCTGGCCAGAGTGACAGAGGGTCGCGCCAATGGCAGCCTCAACGCAAAGGAACCGAGTGCCAGAGGGCGCCGCCGATTCCCACCTGCATCAAGCTCCAGCTGGTAGCAGGGCAGCGGCTCTAGAGACAGCTTGTAGCCCTCGAAGCGGGGATCCAGTAAGGGTCTCTTCACCCGCAGGGAGCAATTGGCTGCCTCCATCGCGTTCCGGGAGCCCAGCGAGAGAATCAATAAAGCTCTTGTTGAAAGGTCCGCGCTTCACTCCTGGAACCGAGGGTGGGAAGCAGCGTGGTTCCCATCCCAGAGGACTCTGCGGCGCCCAATCTCTTCTGGGAAATGTAGTGTGCATGAGCAAGCTGGCTCTGTTGCATGCTGGGAACTGTAGTTTTCCGATAACCGAACTCGCGCCCACCCCGCGGGCTCTGGACTCCCTTACCCAGAGGGCTGAGCGACCAGAAGGCGGCCCGCGCTAGTTGAATTCTCACATTATAGGCAGGGTGGCCAGATCCCGCCCCGGAAATGCGTGTTCTAGCTTTCTGTGTGCTTTAGGTGCCCGAGCTACTGAGGGTCTAAGTCCGGGCAGCCGAAGAGTGTGGTAGGTAACGGTCGTCAGCGCAAGGGTCATTTCGTCGCTGGGAAGGGACGGCCCTCGCCCGCGGTGATGGTGGTGAGCTATGCCCGTGGTCCTCAGGGCCGGGACCCGGGCCCAGCCCAGGCTCCTTTCGATGTGCTGTCTTTTCGTTAGCTTCCCCGACCCGCGCTCGCGGGCCTGCAGGGCTCTCCGACAGGGCGTGCTTCTGGAGTTGGCCTGGAGCCAGTCCTCGCTTTGTTTTCTGGCTCCTCCCCTCCCGCCTCTCCAGCTGTCTCCGCCGTGTTTCCTCTTCCCCCAGAATGTCAGAGCCGGGAGGGATTCCCTAGTTACCAGTGAGAAAACTGAGGCCTTGAGGAATTAAGTGACTTGTCCAAGGTCACCAGCCGTGATTTTTTTTTTTAGGGGCCAAGGCGAGATGAAGTTTCGCTCTTCTCCGTAGGGTACTGACGGAACTTTGCGGTTATTTTGGAAATGTTGAGCTCCAGCTACAGAAGTCAGGCATTACCTAGTGATTAACCCTCTGTTCTCCTGTTCCCTTGCCCGATCCAACTCTGAAAATTCTTCGTCAGTTTTCGTGTAGACGAGTTTTGGGCAACTACCAAGTAGTCTCAAGTTAGTGACCTTAAGTAGGAAAACATTAGCTTAGCCCTGGTTTTATTTTAAACCTTTAAATGGCAAAAATGCCCAAGTTAAGACCGTGCTTTTTTTTTTTCTACACCAGTTTTGGCATTGGTTGTCTGTTTTTAATGAAAATGGAGAATTTTCGCAATTAAGGACTAGTTGGAGATTTGTTTTCCCTTCTCATACCCTCCAATAATAAGTGTATTTGTGGGCACAGAACCCCACAGCTAGGGCGGCAGTTGTAATTCTCAGTAAATTTTAGTGGCGAGTAAAGCACGCAGTCTTATTTCATTTTTCATAATAGTGTCTTTTACTGGTATGCATACTGTATGGCTTTCCCAAAATTTGAATTCAGTTAAGGTGCAGAAATGAACAGTAGTCAGTTATGAATGTCCAATTAAATAAGGTGTTTGGGGCTCCTGGTGTCTGAGTACCTGAGTTTAAATTCTTCCCATCACCATTTTCTGTCTCTGTGCCTCAGTGTTCTCATCTGTAAAATGAGCAAGTTTGGGAGTTAAACTTGTATTAGGTATTAGGCAGTAAGTGCTTGATGATGTATAATAGTAGTGATTCCCCAAAGTCATTAATAAAGAGCATAGAAGGGAATAGCATAGCAAATAGGAATTGGGATACAATAAATAATACTAAGAATAATGATACCATGTAGCATACTTGAAATTCTCATCTTCTCCTTGCTACAATGTTCAATGTGCTGTTAGGATGATTGTCTAGAGAGGACTTAGAAGGAAACAGTTTTCTAAATATTATGTATCTCAAAATGCATGTTGATGTCCAGGTTAGCAAGATGAACAAAGATGCGCAGATGAGAGCAGCGATTAACCAAAAGTTAATAGAAACTGGAGAAAGAGAACGGTGAGTAATAAATTGTATTAATAAATTAGGTTTTACTAATCCATAGTAATTACGTTATATTGGAAGAATTTCTAGTGTCAAGGGGGAAAAAACCTATCTGGAAGGAATTAGAGAAAAGGAAAGATTGCCAGAGTTTCTGTTCTTAACAGCTATCATAGTTTGAATCAGCCTTGCAAGATTTGGAAGAGTTACATACAAAGTAAGCAGTAAATGACACTGCTAACAAGACAACAGGGACACAAGTAACTGCAGCTGGAGAACATTACCCAGGCTCTACTATAGAACTAGTGTTAGTTACCTCGTGCTCCTAACTCTGAGCAGCATGTGCTGTTACTATTTTCTGCAGTACTTTCTTCCTTCTCTTATTTAATATTCAGTTGTTTATCTCCAAATTGTAACTCTTGTATCCACTACATATTCCGTTAGTTTATGGTCTTCAGTGTAATCCAGGTTCCATGACAGAAATAGCTTTGTATACCCACTATATAATGTTATGCTTAAAACCTAATTTAAGGAGCAAATGTTTAGAGAAAGGACTGAGAAATATAGAAAGACTCCCAGAGCAGAGTAATCAAATTTACAAAAGGAAGGTGAATATTCAGAAACAGGAATCTCTTCCATGTTACCAGGAGGTGATTGGGTAAATTTTGATAATAAAAGAATTTCACCTAGGGTAGAAGAAGAATCAGTATTTCTCTAGGTCACAGAGGGAAAAGATGGTCTAGGCATGTTGAACAGGATATGCAGTCAGAGCTTTGGTACCTGAGAAGTGCTCAGGGAACTGCAGGATGTAGGGAAAATGTGAAGGCTTATAGCTGGAGTGGTATACAGGAGTGTAGAATTTTGTGTAAGAATTCTGTCCATTGAAAGCATACTGAATTTCAGAACTGTTCTAGCCAATGAAGTATTTAAGCCTGTCTAATTGAAAGATTGAAGATGGTTTTCCATCATTGAGACCAGGCACTTAGAAATTGTTGCAAGATTTATCTTTTCCTCTCTCAGCTCTCCTTTCCTCTTTGTTGTCTTTATTCTCAAACAGGCCCTACCCACAGGTGGCAGAGATTAGCAGTTCAAAATTTATATTCCACCAGCTCAGAGTACCTTTCTCAGCAAAGAGCCTCACTTGATTACCATCTTTCTTAGGTAATAGGCAAGTTATGATCAGCCTTGCCCAGGTCATATTTCAAATTACAAGAACCATGTCCAGATTTGTTTAGGGAGAGTGACACAGTAGTGTTGTTTGCTTGTTTTTCTGTTACAGAGCAGAAAAATGAGTTTGCACAAGCATAATGTTGCTGTCTTTATCCTTAGATAATGAGAATTAGTAAGAGTTTTTGGAAAGGAAATGATCAGGGTACATTTTCATGGTAGGGATATTATTTTGGCAGTGTGAATGTAGATTTGAAGGGGCTAAGATAAATGGCAGAAAATTAGTTAGAAAGGTAATGGGTGTGAAGGTGAAAGGAAGCAAGAATTCGGAAAGGAGGACATGCCTGTATACTTTTTCAAAATGAGAAGGAAAAACAGATATCCATATGGAGAAAGAGATACAGATGCTGTGCTGGGATGTGTACAGATAGTGTTGATAGGAATGTGTTTAGAGAATTACAGTTTTCTTTTTTATTCATGCCGTGTCTGTTGTGTGCCATTATCTGTTAGGTGCCCAGGATACAGTAGTAAAGTGTACTTTCGTGCGACTAACATTTTCATGGCAGGAAACACATCATAACTGTGTAATATGTCACGCAGTAATGAGTGCCAGGGGAAGAAGCAAGCAAGGGATATGCAGGGAGAGAGATGTAGACAAAAAAAGTAAAGTATCTCTTGTAAGCGATCAGACAAGTATGAACAAGTGGGGGAGCTCCAAGTGCCACAGTCTCAGATAAACTTGTCTACTGATCCATGCTAGCTAAGGAATAAAGTGGGTGAAAGGAAGAAATAGAGTTCAAAGCATGACTGAAGAGGAGGCAGGGCTTGTTTGGTCCATAGTAGAATCTTTGAATTTTACCCTGAGGAAGTTGGGAAGGCACTGGAAGATTTTGAGGAGAATGTTATGATCAGGGGAAGAGGCAGGGAGGTGTGTAGGAAGTTAGGTGTAAGTCCAGACAAGAAAAGATGGTAGCTGGAACTAGGGTACTCTTGGCAGAAAAACATTTGAATTCTAGGTAAGCATTTTAAAACTGAAAGTGCAGGATTTACTCATTCCTTGTATGTGTAGCAACATGAAGGATACTCCCAAGTTCTAGCTCAAGAAACCAGAGAATGAGATTGTCGTTTTGAGAAGGAGAGAAAGTGGGAGGGAAAATGAAGTTGGCTTCTGGCTCTTGAAATGGAAAGACCTACTTAGGCATCAAGATAGACATATCACATAGTGTATCTCTAGGACTATTATTGAAAGAGTGGTGCTTTGCAGGGAAAGAAAATCTGTTTAGTTTAAAGCCTGGCACATTTAAACAAAAATTTTTTCAATTAAGGATATTGAATTTATAAAAATGGGTGTGACAAAAAGATAGCATAATATCTTATTGGTGTCACTAATTGGTACAACATTTTCAGCATTAAGAAAAAGAAAATCCTGTTAATTATATTTCAGCAGACATGCCAATTGCTGAAGTATGGAAATGGGGAGAGACATAGGGCAGGTTAATACTATAGTCAGTGAATGGATTTGGAACCTGAGATAAGTGAGGCCGAGAATTGGCTTGTGTAACATCAGAAAACTAAGTAATGACTCAGGATTAGACCCCAGTTAGTCTGGGGACAGAAAGCCACGGGTTTTTGGTTGAACAGTTTGTACTAGTACATTGCTTCAGACATTTCTGTCTAAAGTATCTTGCTTTGATTAAATGAAAAACATTTCCTCTTTAAACAGCCTCAAAGAGTTGCTGAGAGCTAAATTAATCGAGTGTGGCTGGAAGGATCAGTTGAAGGCACATTGTAAAGGTAATCAGTTTCACTTAGATAAGCTGTGGCTGCTGCTCTGAACTGGGTTGGTATGGGAGTCATTACAAGAAAGTATAGTTCGTACCTTACAGTGTAAATCCTCAAGCATCATTTTAAGCAAATAGGAAATTGAGTTTTATGGTGAGAGTTTTCTTCTCAGTGATATTTTTAGACTTAATTTCTGAATTTTCCATGTATTTTCCAAAAGTGAAGCATAAATACTACAGATCCTCTGGGACCAAAATATGGTTGCCTGTGTTTTTAAGTAATGTTAGTAATCCTGATGTACTTTCTCTTAATAAAATGAGCGCTTGATGGTTGATAGACATAGAGCAGTTGTGTGAGGAATAGGGTCACGTGTTTTGTAACAGTGTTGTCAGGGGACTAAGCGTACTGTAGAAAATGTACAATAAAAGTTTTTATGTTTTTGGTAGCTATTGTTGATATTACACGTGCTTTTAAAATGAGCCCTTTTCTGGCTCAACTTTTGGTATAGTAAAATTCTAGATATTTTTAATGAGTTGTCCTTAGTACGTTTTCTACAAGTAAAAACAACAGACTGTGTATTAACTATAAAAAGCATTTTGACAAGTTAATAAAGAGGGAAGCTGAACTGTGCTCTGCCACGTACAAATGAGTGGTCTTCACGCTTCAGTTGCCTCACCTTTGACCTGGAGTTACTGTGGCTATTGAAAGTTGTAAACCAGCTCCCAGGGTACCAGTAAATGTTGATTGTATTCCTTCTTCATTTCCTTTGTTGCAGGCTAGAGAAGAGAAAAGAGCAAAGTAGCTGTACATCCTAATTCTTGCCTATAAAGTTATACAGTAGATTCCAGAAGTAAATTTTATTTCCTTGATGCATTTCAACTTAATCTAATTAGAGTAAAACCTATTCAGTTACAAATTTCCAGCTTTTTACAAAAGTTAGATTTGACACTACACAGTTCTAATTTATCCTAAGTATTCCAGCTATTTGCTTAAGTTAATTAGTGGAAGGATATACTGACTGTCTATAATCTGGAGATTAATACATTTATGAGTCTATAAATTTTCATTAAAAAAGAAAAAAGAAGTGTCCTCTTTTTATTTAAAGACCAATCTATACTCTAAAAACATGATTTTAACCCTTCCTCTATGAAAATCTTTCTTACAGATAATGATTTTAAATGATATGATTTGTTTTTTGCTTTTGCATAAGAGGTAATTAAAGAAAAAGGACTAGAACACGTTACTGTTGATGACTTGGTGGCTGAAATCACTCCAAAAGGCAGAGGTAAGAAACACAAATTGTATCAGAGGAAATACAGGCTTTCTGTAGGAAAACATCCTTGCCAAAATCATGGAGTTGTTCTTCCTGTGGGAAAGTTTAAGAGTACAGTTGCCTCACTGGCTGGTGTAGCAGTCTTGAGTAATTGATACAAATTGGCACACACACTGTGGGCAGTGTTAGGTTGATGTTTGCTGAAGCAGATTATTTTGGACATGAGATTTTATACAGGAAAATGTCATCTGAAGCTTGGATTTATAAACTTTATTAGATATGGCCTGATTCCACTTAAATATTTAATAATTCAGAGTTTTGCTCCAGTCCTGAGTCATTGTTCTACTCTTTCCTTATTAAAAATAAATGAAAGTCTGTCTTCTTGAATGTCTAATTAAGACTTTGGTAATTCAGGGTGATACATATTTAAGACTTAGAAGTGAAAGTCTCTAGATTAGGATGTCTTTACACATAGTCAAAACCACTTGACTATAATAAATGTCTGAAAATTATGACAGAATACAAATTCCCTGTTGAGAAGGAACTATAAAACCCATGGTCCTTTTTCTTAAAGTTTATTTACAACTTAAAAATATTTGTTTTTTTCAACTATGGCTCATGAAAAATTTGTTCATTTTATGAGTTTATACTTTAAGCTAGTTTTCTCTAATTTCTTTTTCTATTTTTTCCCTTAATCTGTTAAGATTGCGTAGACATTGTTTATTTAAATAAGAAATTATCCTCTGTTTCTCCTTCAACATTTCCATCTTGGATATGTTCATACCTTACAGCTTTTCTATTGGTATCCACTAAAATTGCCCCTTTTTTTGAAATTATAATTACAACATTTTTCCCTTTCCCTTTTCTCTCGCTTAATCTTCACACCCCTCCCCCACTTCTTCAAATTTATGGCCTCTGTTTTAAAGAAAAAATTCCTGTATTTTGTACACATGTATAGATTCATTTGGCCACTGCCTCAAGAAGGTTCGTTAAAGAGTTTCCTCACCCCCACTCCTCAAATAAAAGTTCTCTCCAACTCTATTGATGACTTTACAGTCAGACTATTCAGAGGTAACTTGCTTGCTGTCAGTCTTATTAAAGCCAGATTTGTCAGCGTGCCTTTGCATTTTCAAATGGACGTGTGTGTGTGTGTGTGTGTGTGTGTGTGTGTGTGTGTGTGTGTGTGTGTATGTGTGTATGTGTGTGTATATATATAGTTTAAAGAATTTTCCTGGGGCTTGGAGAGATGGCTCAGAGGTTAAGAACACTGGCTGTTCTTCCAGAAGTCCTGAGTTCAATTCCCAGCAACCACGTGGTGGCTCACAACCATCTATAATGAGATCTGGTATCCTCTTCTGGCATGCAGGAATGTATGCAGACAGAACAATGTATACATATAATAAATAAATAAATAAATCCTTAAAAGAAAAAAAAAAGAATTTCCCTAGGCTTCTCATTGATGTGCTGTGTTTAGGTTTTAGATGTTAAGTCCTGATATCATCTTTTTGTTTTTTTAATTCAACCATGAGAGTTCTGTGAAATCACTGTATTAGTAATGTATACTAAAATATCAAGTCAGATTGACATGTGGTCATTGGAATCCTCTGACTTTGCTGTTTGATTTTTATGTTTCAGCCCTGGTACCTGACAGTGTAAAGAAGGAGCTCCTACAAAGAATAAGAACATTCCTTGCTCAGCATGCCAGTCTTTAAGGGTGAACTAGAATGTGGTGTTCTGTGGGTTTAGTTCTGAAAGTAAAACTTGCCATAAATTAGAGATTGATTTCCCAAAATAAAGTCCTTTTTTGTATGATGGTATACAGTTTTCAGTAATGATGTATACATTGTATTGATTTTTTCCCTAAATGTGTTATTTTAATAAATATCTCATGAATGAGTTTCAAATTTTTTTCGATTTTGGAATAAATGGGACTCAGTTTATTACTGATTGACTAGATATGTTGAGAGAAAATGCCAGCAATTACTTAATAATCCAGTATTTATATGTGTGGTTCTCTGTGCTAACAGCTTAGAAGGCTTTCTGGGTTGTCTACATATGGTATGTTCTTCTTTTAAATTATCATATTTGATAACTGTTGTGCCCCATCTTGTACTATAGGTTGTCTAATTTCTTATTTGTTAAAAATTCTGAGGGTTAGGACTGGGTCTTATCTGTATGTGCCTTCCTTATGCTTCAAAGAATTTACCATCTAGTGGAAGACAGAACATTTGCAAGCTGACTGCACACCACATTCTCTACTCATCTGAACTTTGAAAGCAGAATCTCTAAATTGCATCCCTATATACTGAGGTCAAGAAAGAACTTTAATGGAAAATAATCTCTACCCATTAGCTTTCCTCTGCCATCAGGATTGTTAGAGCTAATGGACTCTTGTTTGTTAATGTGACCTTTGACGCAGAGTGATAATGTTGACCATCCTTCTGCTTGGAACTTTGCATCCCACTCCTCACACCTTTTCTGGTTGTTTTTGTTTGTGTGTTTCTTTGGGAGCTGTTTTGGTTGGTTGGTTTTTTTTGTTTTGGGGGTTTTGTTTGTTTGTTTGTTTTTTTCATCAAGTACTTTTTGCTGTATGTAACTTTTAAGTAATGTTTTGTAGGACTTTCTTCTGAGTCCTCTAATTAACAATATATTTTCCCTGGCTTGAAACCCAGGAAATGGGTCTGACCATGGCTTCAAATACCAACAGATTGATAAATGCTAAACTTCCTCATAGCCAGACTTAATTCTAGCCTCAATACCGGAATAACCATCAGTGAGTCTGCTTCCTTGGATAGTACACAAACACCTTTAAAATGACCATACTTTAAATAGTAGCATTTCCCCCTAGTAACCATCTTTGTTTTATTCCTTATTCATGGGGTCTCTCAGCTACAGATGACTCAAGATGATAGTTAATGCTATTTCTGAAGGTAAGAGATAAGAGACAGGATTATTTCTGAAACACTCTTAAGTTTGTATTACTGCTGCTGATTGATTGAGGACCGCTGTGAGAATATCCGATATAAACTTGGATTATCCTTTTTGGCCCTCTTAAACCCAAGTGATTGCAGTGACTTCTTTGTGCCTCCATTATCTCTCCCTTACTGTTACTGCCTATGTGGCCTTATAAAATTCAAGTCTGATCATTTTATTTCCCTACATGAAATGTTTCAATACTGGGTGGAATCCAAATTCAGCATACTAGCTAGACCTTTCTAAATCTAGTATGTACTTACCTCTCCAATCTGTAGAATCCTCAATATATTAAATTGTTCTATCCCTTAGTACTTTTCCAAACAAAGCCCGCTAAGTCAACTTACTACTTTACCTTCAGAGTTCAACTTGTGTTTCTAAATGTTCAGACAGTCCTATGATTTCAGTTCCTTATCACTGATTTCTTTTTGGGTTTTTGAGATAGGCTGTTTCTTTATAGGCCAGATAGCCTCAAACTCATAGCCCAGGCTGGCTTTGAACATAAACCCAGAGAGCTGGGCTTACTGGCTTGGTGATACATCTGGAGGGGAGGAAGCATGTCTTCATTGTAATGATGCTCATTTGTAAATAAATGGGTAAGGGAATGAATGAATGAATGGAGTGTGTGCTACAGGAACGTGAGATAAAGCCCTAATAGGGTATAATTGAGAAAAGGCTTCTCAATTTGTGGTTCATGGTCCACACTTAAAGTCATGAGTTCAAACGTCGTCAAGTCATTTACATAACTATGTAAACTATGTCTTGATATATGTATACACAAAATCTTACCCAAAGTGATATTTTGTTTCAGTTTCATGATCTAAAGTATTGATAGGGATTTTCATTTTGTTAACCATTATCAAAAAAGAAATAGTCTTACATGGTACACAGAAAATATTAGAAATAAGGGGTAGTTCTTCACAATTCTGTACATAGAAACAAATGGAAAGGGCTTATAAAGATAATGTTTTAATATCCCAAAAGATTTAAAAAATCAAGTTTTGGAAATATCTTGAGCTGAATTAATTGAAAATACTTTGTAGAAATTTAAGTTAAGAGCATAGATTTGGTTTTTGAAGGTGTTTTTGTTTTGTTTTTTTATGTTATTTTGGGGTTTTGCCATTTGTTTTGAGACAGGGTCACATGTAGTCCAGGCTTTCCCTGTTCTTGCTATGTAGCCTAGGTAAGCCTTGAATACCTGATCCTCCTACCTCTACCTCCCAAGTGCTGGGATTACAGGTGTGTGCCACCTCCGGGGCCCATAACTAAGTCTAGATTTAAAATAATGCTAAGACTCCCCTACCACTTTTTTCTTTGGCATCTTCTAAATGTCTTGTAGATTGAATCTAGAATCACTGGTATTTGTAAATAAATCAACTTTGTGAACATTTTGGCTCTCATTGATTTATGTAAAGTAGGAATACACTGAAACCTTTTCAGCCTTTCACACTTAGTGTTGGAATAGAGTTGTTCCATGCCTGCACTGGGTTAGTATCAGCATCACTGTATCCTCTTCTATAGGGTAAAAGAAGATCCAACTAAATTATTTATACAATCACTTGGGGCATTACAAGTGTATCATTTGGTTAAGCAGTGCCAAGGCAGGGACTGGTTGATGCTGGGGATTGGTAATTGGATACAGTACTTTACATAACTTGGTAGAAAATGCCACCCAACACAGGGGAACTGTGACATCTGCTCAATAGCTAGTGTTGGAATTGATCCTGCGTGTGTATGTGTGTGTGTGTGTCACACATGCAGCTGCACGTGTCTGACCCTTGCAGAAGCCTAGCTTGTGTTGGACCTCCTAAAATCCTATATATTTTCTACTAGGAACCTTTGAACAGAAATTGAATGAACCTACCAAGGAAACTTAAGTACAATCAGATCATTCAGGTTCTGAACTCATGATACTGTGTTAACAGATAAGAATGACTCTTGCCTTGGTTTCTCTATTTAGATAGTAAATCATATAATGTCCTGGCTGAAATTAATAAAGACTTAAATACTGATAGCGTAATGAAAGCATAAGGATTTATGTTACCAAGAAATTTAGAAATAATGTTAATTATACGTTTTACTACACTTGTGTGTGAAAAAAAAATCACATTTGTCAGGAGTTTCTAGATTGTATAGCTGCTGTGCAATGTACACAAAAAACGTCCTTGGGGTGAGGAGTAGTTGAGTTTTAGGTGCATACTTGGAATAATTCAAAGCTGGTTCCCAAGATCAATGTCACTGTAGCACTTAGCAAGAAGGGTTGAAATTAAGCCATTTTTAGCCTCTTAACTCCTCTGTGGCTTGGACTGTATCACATTTACCTTTCTGTCTTTAGTACTTAACAGGAATCTTACAATGATCTTTTACCTAAATCAACAGCAAGAAAAATACAAATAAATTTATGGCAAGTAAATTCTCTCTGTTCCTATTTATTCCAGATTTCAAATTATGTTTGGTTACTCTACTTGTCAGCCACAAGGGGGCCCCTGGCGCCCATACTTTGATCCTCTCTGGGACTCACTAATTGAACTGTATCACATTTTACCAGGCCCAGTTCCAATTTAGAGGCCAACCAGCTTGTTCAAGATGAAAGTGTTGGATTAAAACTTAATGTGAGAACATCAGAATGTCCTTCTGGTACAAATAATATGCCTCTGTCATTCAGTGTGTGGATGTCAGGCTGGGATCTTCAGTAGTCAATTTGGGAATTCAGGAAGTTGACTTAAAGGGCATATACAATTGCCAAAATAAAGCATGTACGATTCCCCAAGTAGTTTTATTTCACTGACTTATAACCAGAAAGGGAAAAGGATTTTAACTAATTAACCCTTGTATTTATCACAGTGAAGGGGATAAATATGGGACCTTGTGCATGCTAAGTAAATGCTTATTGCTGAGATGCATCCCAAGCCCAAGAGTCTTAACAAATGAAATAAAGATATTTTCATTGTTCCCAAAAGAATAATATTCATGTTTTTCCTTTTCATTCTCTGTTCTATTTTAAAGAGAAAAAAAATATAGGGCATATGTAATACCCCAAACCTAATGGACATTCAATGATGTGTTTTACAATGACAGTAGTAATCAAAAAGAAATCAAGGAATAAAGGCATGTGGGGTCTACACTCATGTTGCTGTGTTGCATTAGCATAATTCTAAATATAGGAGCTGGTGCCATATTTATTGCATAGTTTGACATTGTGCTTGAATCGCCAGAAGTAAGTAATAATAAATGACTTCCACTTGGCCTAATTTTATTGTTGTTGAGGACATATCCTTCAAAATATATCCCTTCTAGACAGTTACTTATATCAAACTGGGGCTTTGACAAGGTAAGAGCCACACCACAAAACAGGATAATTAATAAATGTCCATAGAGCTATAACTTGGTTGCTATTCAAGTGATTTAAGTAATAATGTACATTGTATGATTTGAGGCATATTCAGTTTGGTGGAGATAAACTGGCCAAGATGCTAACAACATGGGAGTGTTGTTTCTACTATTAATATGGTTAAGGACTTCTTTAGTTACTTAAGAGTTCCGCCTGACAATGCCTATCAATATGATATCTCCTGTTTTGCTAGGGACATTCATACTGCAATGAAGTATGAGATTATGGATGTGCCTCAGGAAAGGTGATATAAAAATCAAAGTAATGGAAAGATACTAGCACATATATTCTGACATCTAGTCCTCATAAAATGGTTCCATGCAGAAGGTTTGCCTTTCATATTTTATACACCCATAAAGGTAGGTTTTGCACACAGATATACAGGCATATTTAGTGAAAATGAAGACATTTATCTGCTGCATTTTCTGTTCTCCAATTCTGCCACTTTGTAGTGCCCTAGTACAGACTTCAGTGAAGTCACTGTCCCTTTTATTCTTATAGTAACTCTACAGAGCTGCAAGTACTTCACTTGAGCTAAGAGTCTGTGGTTTATCATTAGAACACCCTTGCCTGCTTCTTTTTTCTAATCACACACGGTCCCATTTATTAACTTCAACATGACTGCCCCACACTTATTTAGTGTAGGCACCTATCATTTGAACTTTGTTGAAGAACATTTCATAGCCCTATGTTTGCTTAATAAAAATGGCTGAATTCTGATTATTACTTGGCATAGGTTTTGATGTGGCACTCTTGGGTGTCAGAGGATTCTGCTCAAGGTCGCTTGACCTTGTGCACTTGGGCAGAGCACTGAAGGCAGAAGCCTGTGGTACAGAAGGCCCATCATTTCATGTCAGACAGAAGGGGGACAGAGACCTGTCTCCTCCAGCTCAGCTCCCCATTCAGAATTCACCACCACCCCAAATAGAAACAAAGCATTCAGTACCTGGGCCTGTGGGAGACAATTTATATTTAAAGTGTGACAAATCTTAATTAAGTGTGCTCAGTAGTTTTTGTTAGCCTGACAGAAAATAAAGTTATGTGGGAAGAAGAAGAAACCTCAATTGAGGAATGGCCTCCAACAGATTGGCATGTCTGGGCATGTCTGTGGGACCTTTTGACTGCTGATTGATGTGAAAGGGCCCAGCCTATATCAGTTCTCTGAGTTTGAGGACAACCTGGTCTACAGAGTAAGTTCCAGAACAACCAAGCTTAGGCAGGAAGCCTGGTGAATATGTAGTTGAATGAGGGTGCCGTGTTCCAGCCCCAGCAAGCAGCAGAACTTGGTAGCTTCAGCCACATGGTTCTGACTTCAAGGACAGAAGGAAGGCATTATGGAACCTAAGGAAAGCCAGTGAAGTCAGACGTGTCGGGAATATCCCTGAATGCAGGCCTAGAGAGGCCATTGTATGAAGCTGTGAAGATGAAGCCTGGATTGCCTTGGAGACCCCAAGATGTTGGAGATGCCAGAGCCATGGGATACCTGCTAAGGTTGTAGTTTGTATAGCTCCCATTGTAAACATTAAGACCATTACAGCCTTATCTCCTTAGATGACTACATAGCCTATATCTTCTAGTGTATCCCCTTTTCTTCTTCTAGTAGTCTTAAAGTTTCAGGTTTTCTGCTGAGGTCTTCTATCTGTTTTCAGGTGATTTTTGTGAACAAAGAGAGAAGGCTCTGTTTTCCTTCTAAATATGAATAAACAGTTTTCCGGTATCATTTGCTAAATAAGGCTACCTTTTCTCTAGTGTGCATTTTTGTTCTCTATCAAAAATCAAATGGTTATAATTGCATAGGTTTGTGTCCAGGATCTCTAATCTATACTACTGATCTATATGGCTGTTTTTGTTCCAGTACCATGGTGTATTTATTTTTCTTGAACTCTTCATTTTTGGCAATGGTACTCATTGGTGTAGTTGCTTAAGCTGGAAACCTTTTTTTTTTTTAATACAGGGAAGAGTTTATTTGACTTACTGTTCCAGAGGGATAAGAGCACATAGTGAGGAAGCATGGCAGCAAGCAGGAAGCTGAGAGCTCATATTCTCAAAACCCAAGCAAAAAGAAGAGAGAAAACTAAAAGTGGTATGAGGCTTCTAATATTAAAGCCCATCCCCAGTGACATACTTTTGCAAACAAGGCCATACCTCCTAAATCTCCTCATCAGTGCCACCAGCTAGGGACCACGTGTTCAAATGCCTGAGTCTATAGAGGACATTTCTCATTCAAACTACCACACTGTACTCCTTGGTCCCCATAGGTTTGTGGCCATATCATAATACAAAATCTGTTTAATCTAACTTTACAAGTCCTCATAGTCTTTCACGGTCTCAACACAGTTTAATGATCCAACATCTCTTCTGAGACTCAAGCAATCTTTTAATTGTAACCTCCTGTAAAATAAATAAGCAAATTACATACTTCCAACATATAATAGCATAGAATATGCATTACCATTCCAATAGGTAAGAGTGGGGACATAGTAAAGAAATACTGGACCAAAGCAAGACCAGAACCCAATTAGGATGAAGTCCTATAGCTCTGTGGCCATCATCAAAGGGCTTAGATGGCTGCACCCTTCCAGCTTTTCTCCCTGCAACACACAGCTCTCTCCTGGGCTGATTCCATTTCCTGTACACAGCTCTCATAGACAGATATCCTATTGCTCTGACATCTCCAACACCTTTGATCTCCAACGCAATCCAGGCTTCACTTTCACAGCTTCATACAATGGCCTCTGAGGGCCTCTTTCCCTCTCATGCAGGGACTCCCCTGCCACACTGTCTAGCCTCATCAGCTCTCTGAAACTACAGAGGAATAATCCATGACCTCTTTACTCTTTCATCCTTTATGGCTGTAAAGCCAACTCCATGTGGACAACACTGCCAAGCATGGCTCCAGTATAGAATGGACCCTGATCCCCATGAATCACATCAGTACCATCATTTTTGTCCAGTTCCTTTCTGGGAAAAGAGAATTGCTTATGCCCCTTCACAAAT